TGTATGTTAGTTTGTGCATTTTCAAAAGTTTCATTAAAATTTCCAGTGATTTACTTTTTACTTTTTTATTTGTATCTCTAATCTACCTTTACATCTTAGGACGCTAGGTTCTAGCCCAGAACTGTTTTACACATTACTTCAGGTACAGTATTCCTGATAGAAAACTTATAAGCTACGCTATTTAACCTATCTTAGATCATATCAAGCAGTTATGAGTTTAAAAAAGATGTGTCAGCCTAAATCTAATTCAAAATGATACGATGTGATGGCCATTACATTTGATTCCTACTGTCAATAAATAATTATCAAGCCTATTTTAATTACCAAGGCTTGGTACAATTTGTAACATTATAACGCCTCCTTTATCATTAAATTAAATTGGTAACGCGATCTGTAAAAGGTAAGCGATTAGTAAAGTTTTTCAGCTTAAAGATTGATCGAAGGCTTCCCTTTTCAGGGATTTTCTAACATAAATCATCTTAATACTCGTAATAAAGGTTATAACTTTAACGCATGTAGAGCCTCTGCCAATTAAATTGACGATATTTAATTAACAATTTTAAATCAACAGTACAGTATTATGATATAAAAGTAGGTGACAATTTATTTTAGGTTTTCTTTTTGTTTTGCAACACCTATAAAATGTTATTTAAATAAAGGGAGGATTAAACAGCAGTTAATAAAAAAATTAATAACCAAAAAACTGTCTCACTTTAATTGTTAATATAACTGTCACCTAGACTTTAATTTAGTTTTAAGTTAGTCAAGAATATTATGATTATTATTAAAGTAAATCTTTTAAAAGTTGCAATTTCACATTAGATCGATTCACGTTAAATAATATGATATATTTCAATGATATCTTAATATATAAAGTGAATCTAACACAAAAATGTTACTTTTACCACTCAATGCATTTTAATTGCATTGGGTTTAACCAATTTTAGAACCATCCAAAACAGGAGAATGTAATTCTTGGATGACTGAGAACCAATAAAATGTGTTTATAAATATGTCAAACAAAGACCAAAATTACCAACAATGTATATTAAACTAGCTTTTAAGTATTCATAAATTGTGTTTTAGTGTAATAATAAAGTTATAATGATGCCATCATGTAGCAATGCGGGTTGCTTATTGTGGTTTAATGGTGCATGGAGGCAATTATATGTGATTGCCTGTGCTGCACGTATCATCAATATACAGTATTATTGTTTTGTAATAATAATGAGATTTATTTCCACCAAAATACATTATATTGAAATTTTTTTCGGAAAAAGACTATGTAAAGTTTCGTTTAGTGCAAATTTTTGTGTAATTGTTTACTATTGGTTTACTGTAATTTAACCAAATGAAAAAAGAGTAAACTAAATGCATAATAACATTTTAAAAGGATACCGTAAAGTCAAAAAAGTGTATTATCGAGAGGCATTAATCGTAAATTGCATTTTACAATTTCAGAAAATTTTTTATTGAAATAATTTTCCTCTAAACGTTACTTATTTTCTTTAACAAACACCAGAGTTTCTAAACTTCTATGGATGGGAGGCAATATTTCTTAGGATTAAATTAAATACGATAATTACTTCAACGATTAATCACTACTCTTATTATAATTGGGGATATCCTATCAAAACTGATGTAAAGGTTCAACTGAAAATATAAATTGGAAGTATGTTAATGCTAAAACTGTATAATACGGTGCAATATTATTGCTTAGGCTATAAGATTATGCTTTCAACCTGTTGCGAACAAACACTACTTCATAATTTGGAGAATTCGTACAAATATAGCAGGTTTATCCATACAAAAGTTGTAAGTAAATCAAAAACATAAACATAATAAAACTCATTTAATATGTTTCCATGAGACTCTTCTTTTAAATATACGTTCGCGTCGTTCGACGACATGTTTATTATCATTACCGTACTTTAGTTATTGTAATTTTTAATTCTTACAAAATTACCACTCTAAATTTTGAACTAGTTAATCACAAACTAAACTATACTAACTAACTTGGCGATAATATGCGTTTTTTGAAATAAGTTTATTCAATCAACGAAAATTTGAAGCCCTAGGGAAATAATGATTTAATTACCTAAGTTAGAGTAAAATGGGAAATAATTTGTGGAATTGACAAATCACCATCACATTTTCCACTAAATTTACTATTTAGTTCTATTGGCAAAAACCCATTTATTGTCATAGACCTTAACTAACTTTGACCAGGTTTTTGTTGTGTGCGTAATTAATTTTTATAAATCTGTTTAAAACTAATCATCAGTACTAACTAACAAATAATAATAGCTTGATTCTAAGTGGATGCTCAAAGTTTTATATGTATGACAAAACTGGTGTAAATATTACATGCGTTTATTAAAATATCGACTGTGTATATCAATGAATCATTTCATAAATTCCCCAATTTTCTTTTTAATGCACACCCTCCGTTAAAAATAACTATAATCTTTCGAAAAAATAAATAATATTTCAACGCAACAGAGAGTAAAAAGTGTTAAATCGGTATGTCGAATATAAACGGTTTATAATTCTTGGTTCAAATTTTCAAAACAAAATATGTCTTTAACTTTATAATAACACGCATTATAAAAAGTTTTTGTAATGAAACGAAAAAAAATTACAATATGGATACAAAAAAGGATAGTTAAGCTAATAAAAATGAGTATAACAAAATTACCATAACTATGTTATATACAAAGGTTTATGCATTAGTTTCCTGTTTATTTGACATCAAAAACTTGTACTGTACACATTGATTGTCCTAAAAGGTGCTATAGGCCCTAACGTTAATATTACACAGTATTTTTACCTTTAATCTATGAAATTCATGTTTGTAGCCCCTGGCCTGTTGGGTATTATGTAAGACTAAATTACTTACGTAATCCAATCACAGCTCAACAAATTCGGTAAATTAGGACATGTTTCGATGTTAAACACCATCATCAGCTTCAGAGTTGCTACAAAAATAAATGGTCCATCACAAAAATAATTCTATAAATCTTCCACCTTATCCCCCCACTTTTGGAATCCCCTCTCGTCAATATAATTAAATGAACCACTTATGGATGTTGTCGTGAATAAAATTAAACGTTATTATTGTTGGGATGTACCCTCTCTTTATTTTTAGTATTTATATTTTACTTCCTATAACAATTTACAGCATATGAATATGTATTGTAAGTAACATTTGTATGCTAATTCCTCTAAATATCATAGAGGTAAAACGATGTCCCTTAATACTAAATGTCACATCACTGTAAATGCATGTGATATTAACCAAACTATGTCATAACACTAAAGACTGTCAAAGTTACAAGCTACATAGCATTCACAGTTTTTTGTCCATTGGTCTGAAGTAAAAAATACGATTTCTTATTTACACTTCTTCCCTAAACAAAAACCCAATTCTTAATTCTTTTAGTTAAGGATTAAAATATACCATTTCACTACATATAGTTGAGGTTGATACCTACAATACGGACTTGGCACGCACGCTTGCATTGGACTTTATGTAGAGACATTTTCAAATTTAACTTTCAATACATTGATGTCCTTTGAATTTACATGTTATTAATTGAATACTTCCATATGTCTTGAGAGTAAAATAAATGCGTCATTATAGACAGTTCAAGGCCAGAACTGCAAGAAAAGGTTTCATAGGCAACATCGTACAATTTCAATTATTGGTAACTCTATATACAAATCACACCTTATCAATTTAAAGACAAAATGTTTTACTTACTTCAAATCACCTCTTGATGGCTCAAAACAGGAGTTTAAACTAGTTGCGACTGCAATTAAATGGATTTCTTGATATAATGTATTTAAACCTTTTTAATATTATCTGACAATTCGGTGGCCAACATCTAAAATGAACTTAATTTAAAAGAAACATGTGAAACGTTGAAAACATTGGAAACATTGGTTACTGCAAGTAGACAATTAATTTATGTGAACAAGATTTATAATTGACTTTGGATACTGCAAATAGACAATCCATTTTTATGTGAACCAATATACCATTGACTTTGGATACTGCAAGTGGATTTCTCATTTATTTGAACAAGATGTTCCATTGACTTTAGATACTGGAAGTATAGATATCATTTATTTACTAGAAACATATGTAGCATAAACTTTGGAAAAATATTGGATTAATATGCTAGCTCCACTTAATATTGCGAGCAGAAAACTGCATTTTATACCTAGTTTAAAATAGTTAGTTCCTTCCTAGTCTAACTTAATATAGCATTGTCGGAATAAAAGAAGGGTGACTAAAATGATTACTACACATATTCGAGTTATTCTGGTATGAAGAATCTAGTAGTAGAATAGTGGTATGAAAATCACACTATTATTTTTTGCGATATTCTATGTAGTATAAATTAGTAAAAAAAAAACAATGGAACATGTATTTTTGGTAATCAATACTAAATCTCAAATGCGTCAGATTGTTAAATTAAAATTTTGAATTAAAATTTGCGTTATTGAATAGATTACTGAACCAATGAATCTGAAATTGCATAACAACTTTGAATTAAATATTGATTTTTTATTCAAAGATGTTATTTACTTTGAGTTTATTTTTATTTTTTTATGAGGCTTTTAGTTAATTACCACCAACCTGAGTAAAAAAGATAACTGAACGCATTAAACATTTTTTTGTATGTATACTACGATTTTGCCTAGCCTGCTTGGGATTATCCATCCTGTATAGAAAAAGATAAATATTTTTATAGCTCTAATACTAGTTAAAAACATGGAAATATCTGGCTGTAAAACATATTTCATCAATTAAACTTTTGATCAAACCTACCAATAAGCGAAAATAGATCTAAATTTAAAAAAAAATGGTCAAGGTTAAATTAATCCTTGCAACAACAAAGAGAATTTCAAACTAAATGGACCTTATAAGATCTTACGATGTTTAGCTGAATACTGTGTGAAATAAGTTATAACATTCGTCTTGGAAATTTTATTTAAAAGCCCAATACACCACACAATTTTGATTTAGTCTTGTCGAGGAAGTTGCCTTGACACATTTTTTCCCATTCTTCCTGATTAAGATACAATCCGTTGGACCTCAATTTACTTATTACATCATCAACGTTACATGGCAGCTCATTACAAAATTTCTTCAGCTTTAATTCTTTGAACTTTGACCTGTGTTCTGGGTTCAATGGAGAGTACAGGAACAACTGTAACAAAATTATGCTGCAAGGTAATGGTGATATCATGACTGGAACTACGCAGTGTATCAACACATTCTAGGCTAGACTAAAAAACAAGAAAAGGCGAAATTACGAAAGTAAGGGTTCCATAGCGTTCACTAAAAGGATCTAGGACAGCTGACTTCCTTAGTTCAGCTGGTAACCTAAATTAGTACATGCAATATTATTATCAGTGAATTACGGAGACATATATTCTTGGCTCCTAGACTGTTTCGGTACTACCGCTTGTTGTTTGCTTAGCTATAAGTCCAAAAGCAATACCCACTCCTGTCGTCATTACAAATCTGGAGCATCCAATTGAAAATGTCTTTTACCGTCATGGGGGAAATACACCTTGGTTTGGCTCCAGGAGAGAACATGACATTCTGAATAAGAGCGATACACCTATTTCCGTCGTCTGAGTGGCACGGCCCCATATAGTGACATTTTAGCGAATTTCCAATATAGGGTATAAGCACAGCCACCTCTAATACAATAATAGGACAAACAGTCCACGTTAGGTTATGGCGGGATGCGTACACAATACGAACAATGAGGTTATGTTACTTGGCGGGAATACAACTGGCGGGAGATTGAATTAATTGACGGGATACGTATACAGTACGTAGAGTGAGGTAACAGTTGCGTATGCAGTACGATCTTGGTCACGTGATCAGCTGGTAGCTCCTATACACACAAGTAAGGTAACGTTAGTTGGCGGGAAAGCATAAAACCTACATACACAGTACATAAAATGAGGTTAAATCAGTTAGCAAGAAAGCAGACGAACTACATATACAAGTAAAGTGCCTGCATTATCAGTCTCTACTCCCACAGCACTAAGTTATTTTGTAGAGGCTTATACCACTATAAACCCGTAACTGGCGTCGTAGGAACCGTCACCTGTAATGCCCCTGCTTAAAGCTAATCTTATAATACACAATAAATACCTACTTATACAAATAAGGTTACATCATTGGCAAGAGTTGGCGGGTTGCGTACACAATACGTAGTGAAGTTATTTACATAATCAGCTGAGATTGTTATTTACCACTATAAACACTGTACCTGTAACTTGCGTCGTAGCCCAATGGATAAGGCTTCGGACCTTCATCTAGAAGACCTGGGTTCGATACCTTGTCACACTTTTTAGCCATGAATGAATAAACAGAAATAGTTTAATAACTAATTCAGTAAACAAAGGTACCTACGTATAATTACGTCAGTTGGTGAGAACAGCTAGCACGAAAGCATACATATACAAGTAAGGTTATGATACAGATACAGATAGTATGCAATACAATCTCGGTGAGAAAGTCACATGATTTAACGAAAAAACTACCCCTAACGGCTAAGAGTAGTGTCTACCACCCCTACACAGTATCTAATAACCCTAGAAAACTAGTCCTAACAGTTAAGAGTTAATTTACTGTATCTACTACCACTCTAGGGGTGGTTTTGCCCCCAATTGGGGCCACCCCTACTAACAGTGCTTACGTCTGACGATAGCGATTTATGTTAACATTATTGTTTTTATATCGCTCGGTCGCATCCACGCCTTATACCCGCAGGCTGTTTGCAGGTCCGCTGTATGGTCTCGGAAGAGGGTGTTTGGTGAACATGCGCTCGGCTCGCCATCGACTGTCCTAATGTTTAATGCTCTACTGTCCACCGGTCTCGGCTCCTCCCCACCACCGCTACGTCAGCGCCCCGAGGTCACGGTGGCCAAATCTCAAACTATGTAAGACACTGACCAAGTGGATCATTGTTGCCGTCGTGGTGTGACCGCCGCGCTCGAATCTTTTGCGAATATAAAATACAAAAATTACCCCTAACAAAATTTGACCATTACACATTGCTAAGATTAAGTTATGATTTAAATGCTTATTGTTGTGTTCAAATTGAAAATAAAGTGTGAAGAAAGTAATAGCTATCTGTTTTAACGTTTTTAAAGCTTTTACCAACTTACATAGAATTTAATCTAATATTGATGTGAATTCTAACAAAAACCATCCATCTACAAACTGAATGCTGCATGCAAAAATAAAAAAACCTTTGTTGATAATGTGATTATTAATAACTAAGATGTCTCAAATGTTGACAAAACCACCCATAAAATGTTGTTAAATAATATCGTTTTCTGGTTACTATTGAAGAATATGAGATTTTCAAGGCCCCGGCAAGAAATTCCCCAACACATTCTCAACGGAAAATATTTCGTTTGGGTCAGACATAGTTTAAAAAACAGCCTCTTTTATAGAAACATTAACTGAAGACAATGCAGTTGACAACAACAAAGCGATGGTAGGAGGGGAGGGGTTGGACACGGCGACGGTCAGTCTAAACGTTAGACAACTAAGAAAAACTTACTTGCGATGTACATTCTGCATTATGTAGCTCCTAAACGAGTAAGTTTAGAGTGAAATTGTGTAAAGTAAATTAGTCTTAAAATTACATCTACATGCTAATAAGACGATACAATGTTTTTTATGTTCAAATTCTCTGCCATTTAGGAAAATAGCGGTTATTTTTTAAACAATGGTATCAATAATTTCGATGTATTGAAGGTAATTATGTTATTACTTACTTATGTTTCGCCAAATTTCGTTACACTCTCAGTGTATACCTGAACCCCTTTCAAAGCAAGACTACAAAGACAAAGCTGTGAATGCATTGATTCCACACTCCACAGGGGGTTTACCTAATACAAATACTGACAAAAAATTACCAGTTTAAATAATTTTCATTCTACCAATGTAGTTTCGAAAGAAAATTTGTAAACAGTCCTTTTCAACCTGATTGTGACAATATCTTTATCATTTGCTGGCTATAAATTAGTTAAATAAATGCTAAATCTGCGATTAAAATTTCCCCTAAAGCGTAAATACTAAGCTTCTCGTATATTATAACCTTTCGATACTTATTTCTATAAAAGTTAACAAATTCCTTCTATTACCTCTATGTTCATTTTTGGTACACTGACTTCAAAAATCAATGTGTCGCCAGGAGAGGCCATGTATTCAGTATCTTTAGTTAACGCCCATACCATCGCAGTTACGGTCACGTCGTCAGAGCCGTGGAGATGTATGACATCGTTTTGTGGTACGGATCCAAACAAATTTCCGCCGTTTTCATTAGCATCATAACTGTCCTTCCAGTCGTTATATTGCTTAGCCATGTAGTTTAGTATCTCATATAATAATTGTCCTGAAACAATTATATGTCAGTGTTTTATAATTTCACCTGAAGTAATGAAATAATGAAATAATGAAAAATTGAAAAAATAAAATAATAATGTACCTAATTATTATTGATGAAACGATAAAACGATGAAACTATGAAACGATGAAACGATGACACGATGAAACAGTAAAACGACGAAACGATAAAACGATGAAACTATGAAACGATGAAACGATGAAAAGATGAAACGATGAAACGATGAAACGATGAAACGATTAAACGATTAAATGACTAAATGATGAAATGATGATATAATAAAATAATGGAATAATGGAATAATGGAATAATGAAATAATGAAATAATGAAATAATGAAATAATGAAATAATGAAATAATGAAATAATGAAATAATGAAATAATGAAATAATGAAATAATGAAATAATGAAATAATGAAATAATGAAATAATGAAATAATGAAATAATGAAATAATGAAATAATGAAATAATGAAATAATGAAATAATGAAATAATGAAATAATGAAATAATGAAATAATGAAATAATGAAATAATAAAATAATGAAATAATAAAATAATGAAATAATGAAATAATGAAATAATAAAATAATGAAATAATGAAATAATGAAATAATGAAAAAATAAAATAATGAAACAATGAAATAATGAAATAATGAAATAATTAAATAATTAAATAATTAAATAATTAAATAATTAAATAATGAAATAATAAAAAAATTAAATAATGAAATAATGAAAACAATTAAATAATAATTTATTCTACCATAATTACATAACATACAAATGAAATTACTTACAATAGACGCTATTTTTTCATTAAATATGTTGTAACTATAATTTCCATAATTTGTAATAAAACATTAATAAAAAAATCACAGTTTTAACTTTCTTATTGCTTTTAACTAAATCATAGTCCACAGTGTTTTGAAAATAGAATGAACTATCTTGCTCTTTTGATATAATTCCCTTATTTGAATAAGACCTAGTGGCGTGATCGATTACTACCATTAAAGTTAATTAATAACATTGTGATTTAGCCTCCGGATAACCAATATTTCAATAAAGTGGTTTAAATACCTGTATAAAAGTTATCAAAAATGTTGCTCACGGCAACCGGTTTCAATTCTCAATAGGGATCTTCTTCAGGCCGATCAGGATGTCAAAACACTTTTTTTTTCTTGCGAAGGTCGTCAAAAGGCGTAAAAAACATGCACACATTATGGTCACAAACACAAAACACGGACATTTAACATTGACGACACGGCCGAAATTATTGCTACGACTCATCCCCGGCGAAGGTATAGTCTAGACCAATACCTTATTTATTTCAGGAAATATTTTAGTAAAAAATGTAATCAGACAAGTTGAAATTCGCTTATTCTGCAGGTTTGCTGTGGCGAGGGTATTTAGATTTCATACGGTACCTGTATAGTACTGAAGGTGAGGATACACCCTCGTGAACAGCCGGTGATGAACGAGTTTCTCTATCTTCGGCATAAGTGGAACAACCCATTTTGGCAGCTCCTTTTTGTTGAGTTTCTGCACGGATAAAAGAGATAAATAGAAAACGCCTTCTACACAGTTATGTGGCAAACTTAATCCACATTATATCTATGCTTAAATAACTTTTATTGGGTAACGTTTAGTTTTATTTTGCTAAGTATCTTTGTTAATAATATGTCTTATCTTATTCTCTATTCTTATCCTCTTATCTAATATATTACTCTCAAAAGTATGATATGATATAACAAGTTGGAATTAGTGATAATACCCTTATTCAGTATTACAAGGATACTAATCTGTTGCAATTGTTCCTTTGTTTTAAAATGTTTGGCAATCCAATTTATAAGGCCTGCATAACGTAAAGCTTAGTTCCTCTTTTTAGTTTTTTTGTGAGGTTTCACCTTAATAACTAACAAATATATCAACGTAAGTATTTGTTTTTTTTTTCTTGGAGGAAATATCCTAAAAATGTTTAAATAAATCTGATAGGCCCTACAATATTATTAAAAACGCACGTGTATTATATTTCTGGTAACATAAATATAAATAATGACTTGATTAGCATTGTATGCGTTGTTTAAGTTAAGGAGCAGTACTAAAGGCTATACAAGTAAGTTTATAAGTAGAAACGTGACCATTGAGGTCCTCGTCTTTCGCATATTGGGTCTAATTATGATTGGATTGTCCAATCCAATTCGATCACGACTTATCTTTTCGTACGTTTGCCGTCTTTTGAGTCAGTATAAGTGTAAATATATGTATTATATTGTAATATATTGGAATCAGACGATTGTAACATTAATGTAGGGATTCTATGTGACTGGGTGATACCACTTGAATTGGTTCAGCATGTCTGTGGAATAAGTTAATGGAAGAGTGGTATGGACAAATTAACTACACAAATTGACTGGATTGTTGACCCAACAAAGGAGAGGGGGATAACTACACGCACAATTTAGGCCTACATATGTTTTTTGCCGTGAATTTATAGAAGTGGTAATATGTGAGTCGTCATGTACGATTTATCTCAAAATGCTGCATAAAACTGAAGTTGGAGTTATTGCCGATTTATTCAATTATCAATTGAAGGATGCTGAGGCCGGTTCATGCTGGAGAAGCTAGTTGCTGAAGTTAAGTATAACTGAAGATGGTAGGTAGTTGCTGGAGTAGCTGCTGAAGTAGAGGATATCTGAAGACGGTAGTTGCTGGAGATGGTTCATGTTGAAGAAGCTAGTTGCTGAAAGTGAGTATAACTGAAGATGGTAGTTGCTTTAGTAGCTGCTGAAGTTGAGAATAACTGAAGACGGTAGTTGGTGGAGATGGTTCATGTTGAAGAAGCTAGTTGCTGAAGTTGAGTATAACTGAAGATGGTAATTGCTGGTGACGGTTCATGTTGAGCTGTTGAGGTTGAATATAACTGAAGATGGTGGTAGCTGAAGATGGCAATTTACAGAGGTGATGGTTGCTGAAGATATGAGACCTTGCAGTGGTTGCTATTGTTTGGCTGGTTGCAGGTTTGGTTTTAGTTGATTGCAATATTGACTTCAGTGGAAATTGGCCTTTATTATATTTTGTAAACTTGTGGTTTTTTTGATTTTCCGTTAAATGTGAAAAATATGAAAACGACAACTAAGCTCAGTATACTCGCTTGGCATATGTGAGAATACTCAGGAACTGATTGAACTGACACCATGAATGACTATCTACATTGTATATTACTATTAAGTATAATTTATAACCCTTTAAAACACAATATATATATATATATAATCAAATATTCAGATAACACATGAATTAAAGAAATTAATTATTTTTGGGCCCCACTATTAAAAGAGAATTGAACACATATATAAGTTTAAAAGAAATAGTTATAATAAAAATGTAAAATGACTTGATCTTAATTAATTAAACCCTTTTACATAAAATATGGGTATTCATAAATGTTATTAATCTACATCTTTGCCATTTGGCCAAAGTCCAGTTCACAAAACTTAATACACAATCCTAATATGAAATTCTATAAGATTAATACACTTTACAAACTAAGATTATATTCACATTTAGCAAACTACTAAAAATACTCGTTTGAAAACGAAATACTAAATAAGAACTTACTTATATTAAATACTATATTTTACAGGTTTGACCTTTAAGGATATGTTTTTGTTGTTTTTATTTAGCAAAAATTATTTATTTATAATTGTTTATGTTGTTTTATATCATCGATTTATTTAGGTTTTTAATTTTATTTTAAGTTAGGTTTAATTTGAATTGTAGTTATTTAACTTAGGCCCTTTTTATGTAATTTACATTTATCTTTTTTCTTCTAAAGTTTTTTTTATGAATGTTTTAACTGTGTGAACTTTTGCTCATGAGTATATTCGGTAGGATATCCTATTCTATAGAGTAGAGTATCCTATTCTGCGTAGGATATATCCTACGCCATAACTGCAGCAAAGACCTGAAGATTGTGAATTTGACGCAGGGCGATTTAAAAACGACATGAATCTTTTAGCAAAAGAGTCGCCTAACACCTGAATCACTGCGCCAGGTTGTGAAGCCTTTGACCAGAATTTAATAAACACACTGCAGAAACAATTAAAAATTATTTAAAAAATCTATCTCACTAATAAGGTTTAAGTCAGGAATTGAACGGAGAGAAAACTTGTTTTGGGTTTGCTTTAAAAGGAGTATGCATATGACATTACAGTTACATAACTACTGCTTGTCTTAATTTTGAGCAGAAACAAGACTAGCATGCTCGGACTTTAGCCTATTTGCTCACAACCTGACTCAGTCCTACCTGCCACTGAATAAGTATGTAGCCTACAATTTTCCGAAAAAGGCCAACTCCGCCAAGGTTAAGTATGAAATGCTGCCTTCTAACTAACAAAATTATAAAATTACACAGTACAACACAATGACATAGGACAACAGGTTAAATATATGCTGCTGCACTTGCAAACATTTTCTTTAATACTATTACAGAAATACTATATTCTTTTCAATACGATAAAAACTTATGTGGTCCCGACTTTAGATGTATTTTTGTTACCTACATAACTTTTTGATCATAAATATAGTAATTTGTATCCACCCAATTTATAAGTATGATCGATTGTCTTATTCTGTGAAATATAACTCACCATCATTTGAAAATTATCCCATAGATCAAATACATCATCCAGTGTTTCTATAGGCTTAACTGCGACTTCACTTTTTGTACTCTGATCAATGACCTCCTTTATTGCACTTTTTTGCTCGGTTGATAGTTTTTTCATCTCACCTTGTATTATTTTATCTCTCAATAGTGTGTACTGTTTGCATGTTGTATCTTCCTGGTTCGTTTCGAAAAGCTAAAAAAAATATGTGACAATTCTTCATCAATCATGGCCAACGAATTTATATAACAATATTTTGTGTAAACAATATAAAGTATACAAGATCAACTAAACATGTTCTAAAGACTAATTTTAAAATTGTTTTTGAATCTTAATCATAGTTATTATTTGTCTATGATTCATAACAGTGAGTAAAGTTCCTTCAACATTTTGACCACAGCAAATTTAGGCTACAGAAAAGAAATCATTAAATCCCAAATACCTAAACAAGACCTTAAGAGGCATTAGAAAATTAATTAAATAAATACCAACATCAGAATTGCCCCGGAAGCGTGTCCAAGACTCAATATATAATTCTTCAATTTTAATATCCTTAATTCTCCACTTGAATCCGTCCGGAACCTCGTAAATGCCATGGAGTACTGAATCCACAGATGCTTTTGCCGTGGGTCTACCGTTTGAAGTAGCTTTGATAAAACCAGTGTTGTAGATGATGTTACTTTTGTACCTAGTCTGCAAGCTACGTCCCACGCGTTCCATCAATGCTTTGCCACCCTAAAACGTATACCAATATAAAAACTAAGGATGTCTGTATCGTCAAATAACATAAATCATTCATTTGTTACAAAAAATTTACGTAATTAAATACTGTATTAAACGTGTAATGCTTAGGTTTACATTGTTAAATGTGTTGATGATCAATATGTACTAAACAAAGACATTTGCCAGCACTAACTATAAGTAGACTTTCTATTTTAACCCGTAGAACAGACGTAGTAAGAAAATAATTACTGACTCTCATGTAATATAATGTATTTATATATTTACGGTGTAACCATTTTACAAAATGTATAACATTAATTTATTTATCTTTGGGTATTTAATTTATTGGGTCTTTGTGCACTTCAAGAGACGATACCATTTGAGGACTGAAAGGAGCCGAGTCGAGAGGACAACGTGGACCAAGGACGACAAGACAGGACAGAGGGGTTCGGAGCCGATCAACTCATACGTCAAAGGACTGCCTAACAAATTGCCCTGGTCTCTTCTCTAGGATACGTGAGCAAAATACGATTGTATATATTTATGTAAATAGTCTTGAGATAAAATAAATGTAGTGAAACGCTTCGAGTGTTCAAGTAAAAAGAGAGTTATGAAAGCCCCGAAAAAGTCTGAACACAGGAATAAGGTAAAAGTTGAGTAGTGCGGGTAGAGGGTTTTCTTGCCATCAGCCGATTTGTAGATTTTAATGTCTAACGGATGTTTGGTGACGACATGGGAAAACATGTGATTGGTGACGTTTTGTAGATAATTAGCGTATGTCGTTCCAAGTGTGACGTATGTTGTGTTATGACTTTTCAATGTATTATTCATTGTTCAAGGTCATTTGTACGTGTTTTAAAAGAAGGAAGCTACCACTACATCTATGCAGTGTTATTATTATGGAATACGTCATTAGAGGGTGATGTATGTGGTATGATGTAAGAATAGAATTAAAAGTCAAAACATTGTGTTCATTCTACGTTGATCTAGACACAGAAAAAATGCATGCAACAATCTTAGAAAGATTTTTACAAATTGATGTCTAATGAGATATATAGGAAGACAATTAAACCGGTTCGGAATAGGCTAGGTATTAGATTAGTGTCAGATCCAAAAGAGGTGGGAAAATTGATTTCAAAGCCAAACTTAATTGATCGAACTGTGTATAGTGAGAACTTTGTAGGCATTCACATGGAAAAGACCAAGGCATTGTTAAAAAAAACAATGTATAGAGATATGAGCATTTTTAGAACATCTGGTTGGCAACCAAGAATAAACAGGTTGACGAGTAATTAGCACAACCAAACTTCAAGCGGAGAACTATTTTACAGGACAACTTGCATCAGTACATATAAGTAAAAAGAAACTTTATCTCAACAAAGCTATCTACGTTGAGTTTATTTGATTCAACCACCGTTGGTTTCGTAGTTGTTTATATCTAAAATTTGGTACTTTTATACAATTTACAAGTTCAAAATATCCCCATAGGTAATGTGGTACGTACCATCAAGGCCACACAGAATACTACGAAATCTTTTCTTAGTGCCATTTTTTTGTTTTTTTTTATTCTTTTTCTTCCTTGTCTTCTTTATCTTCTTGTTTTCGTAACTTTAAAGACTCTTCTATTTCATGTATGATTTCTTAATTTTTTTCTTGTTCCAATAATGCTGCTTCATCTGTATGCTTTTGTACGACTGATGGAAAATTCATTTTACTTATGATGTAGTATAGGATGTTACCCATTCAACGAACGAGGAAAGACTGATTGGTGGTGTGCAAAGCTCCTCCTTTTATAGCCGACTGGTGGTTGTGGTGAAACTCATTTACAACACTGTTTTGACTCATCCCATCAATGGTGTGTACGTTACAATTTTATCATGCAAAATTAAACGATTGACAGATGTTATATCAGGAACGTTCTCTTCAAACTCCATTTCTATCTTTATATCCAAACTTAAAAACTTTACAGATTCGTTTTGTTTTGAACAATCTTTTACAGTTATTGGAGCTTTTGATTCATTCTGCTCGGGAGACAGTATTGGGGTGTTTGTTTTCCCGTAGTAGTTGTTTTCCCGTAGTACCGTTCTTCTTAGTGAAATATTAAAGTTGTCGTAAGGGAATAGTTTTGAATTAAGAAACACTTTACAATTTGTTAGTTTGCAAGGATCGAAATGACTGGCATTAGCTAGTATATTATTCCTTTTTTGGTTTGTAGTGCACATATTACATATCTTGCTTTTTCCAAATGAGTAGATGTTGTTACAATTCATCTATGCCTTTGTGTTTTAGGCAAAACTGGATATCCATGAAATTTCCAACTTCTGAATGGTATTACAATATCTCTATCTGATTTCAGTTGTCTCAACAGTGTTGTTCTATGTTCGTCATTTAATCGCACATGTGGTACTCTCCAAACAATATTGTCCAAAGTTAGATTTCAGTCTAAATTTGCGTTAGTGGTTCCAGCTGCTGCGCAAATAGTATCCTTATCATTTGATGATCTTAATAACACTAACTCCTGTTTCACATTTATTATAACTCTACTGTAATCTTCAGAAAAGCCTAGACATAATTTCAATGGTATGTAGAAATCAAAGTTTCCTGCTGAGTCAGGGGTTATTGTGTCTTATCGGGAGCAACTCATCTTCTAATTCTTAACAAATTCTTTTAGTTTTGTGTCAAAGATGCTAATCCTTTTAATGTGCCTTTTAAACATACTTTCGTTGTAAAATCTACCGTTACTCCAGATATTTCATAACTAATTTCATCAAATAAAAATGCCATTGGATGAAAAAAAGAACGAAGATTGGAATTGATAAAAGAAACGGTGGTTCCAGCGTCCCATCTTTTTATTACTCTTCCTTCAATATATAGATAACTTTTGCACGGAAGTCGTTCACATGCACATGCACATGCACATGCACATGCGTCGGAACGTGCATGGAAGTTCGTTTGTTGTATAGGAATTCTAATTTCATCACTATTATTAAATTTTCACGAAGTGTAGAGGTTGTGCGTGTGATACTCCTTTTTCCATAAGTCTCGTCGAATGTTGGTTCTTTTGTTATATCTAGTATTTCCATTTTCAATGAGTTTTAATCCAATTTCTTATAAAAATCAAAAGGAATTTTATAGTTTAAGATGCAGGCATTACACGCAGCACCTGTGTAGCTTCCAGTCAGATTGTCGTGGTCGTGCACTTTATGATTATCTGCTGTAAATGATTTATTGCAAAGATAACATGATGTTGATAAATAGTAATCTTCAACTTCAACGGGTGACATAAATGTCATAGGTTTTACCTGTATATAAATTGCCTATACTTTTTTAGCTATATTGTGAAGCTCGTCAACAAAGTGTTTAGCTTTATCTTTTTCAAGACACACTTTTGGTTCAGCTGTCAGTCCACAATCTTGTAAATATTCTTTGGAAAGCGTTGACTTCAGTAGGCAGAAACTGTTGAGGAAATGTAACTGGTACTTGTTCCTCCTCTTGATGGTCCAACGGTAGTAGTGTAAATTCAAAATAAGCATACATAACAATAGGGATTCTATATTGATGAATGGCGTTATTAAACTTTACAAATGCTCTATCACGTGGTGGCAAGATAAACTTTACTTCATCATGTTTGTTGCATAACCTTTTATGCTCCAATAACCATTCAGAACCTCCACTTCTCAAAGGGTTATTTACACAACAAAAATATCTTTTACAAATTGTTTTACTTTCTTTTCTTTTTGACACGTGTAATGAAAGAATTCTGTTAAAATTCTTAATATAAACACAATTATGTATATTACCTTGGGTGAATAATAACAAGTCTGTGTGGTTTTTTAGCTGATTCACCAGTCAATTTCACTATTAAATAACTCCATCAGGTCCGACAGAATTCACTCTTCGATCTCATTATTTATTAACTTTATCATGTTCGACAGCATTTTTCATCATCATCTTCCTTTTCTTTTAATTTTCCAATGTATCTATTAATTATAGCACTAGCTTCTTTCATTTCTCCCACATTCCTCATTCTTGCTTCATCAACTTTCTTTTCTAAAAATCTTATTCTCTCAACTGTTAAGTTTAGAATTTGAATTTTAGACGTTCCTTTTTTAGCTTGAAGTATAGTTTTTATACTTTAGTTTTTATACTTCAAACGTTTCGTTAAGCTTCAGTACCCTCCTTCTTTTTCTTTCATTATGTCTAATCATTTGTCCATTCATCTTGATCTTACTTGCATTTGCAAGTTCAAAAAATAAGAATGTTTAATGCGTGATATCAAACCTATTTTATACCTTCATTTAGAGGTGGGGGTAACCCCTCCCCACTTTACTTTATAGTAGTAGGGGAAATTGATAAAAACTGTTCTTTTTGTTGAACTATGAAATTGTCTAATTCATTTAAGTAGGTTAAGGTCATTGTAAAAAAATGTGTAAACAATTTATTTAATTCAGTTACATGTCTTTTACACATTATATGCCAGGGTAAAAACAAATTGCTCACACATATTTAAAAATTTTGGAAACCTCTAATTTTTTGTGTCTTTAGAATCTTATCACTATCAGGTTTTTAAATTTGAAAAAAGAAAATTTATTGTATATATTGGGAGAAATTAAATATTCCAAAGTTCCAAAACATAGAAATAGAAAATTTAGTGTATTTGTTTTGGATATTGATGATTTGCAAAACAAACTAAAACCCACTCATTATAATTTTTGTACATTATTCACTATCAATGGATACGTATGAGTTAGAGTCAGAGTCAAACAAACGTCCTCTACATCATCGCACTAAACATTATATGACTTGTTGTAGGTGTTTCCCTTAGCTCATCAAGTTTCCCCCACCATAATACCTCGTCAGTAGTTGATGAATCTTCAACAAGTAGGACACTTCTTTCTTCTTCATCTAACCCTTCATCTGTCAATACTTCCAAATTATGTAATTCTAAATCATCCCCACCATCCAATTCCAATTCTTCTCTAGATAAAGATTCTTCCTCCAAATCTATGTCTTTTTCCTCTTAATCAGCTTCAAAAACAATGTTTTCCAATAAGGGGTCAAAAAAGTGGTTTGGGAAATATTTTCCGCAGGAGACATAATGTACAAGAGTGGCAAATCTGAAGTAACTTACATATTATATATCTTCAACAAACATATTATATAGTCAAACCCCCTAACGCCATTAAGTCCAAACGCGAAATGTTATTATTATCCACTTTTATCTACAGCTCCGTGTAGGTTGAGTGGCGGGGCGGTCGGCCCTGAACAAAATTTCCTCTGTCCAATCAGCCACGGGCACTGAACATATAACAACACTTTTACATAAAGGTTTTGGTCGACAATATGAATTTAACTCGATCTATTGTCTACGTGTAAGCTGTGTTTTGGTTGTAAAACGTTGGTGTGGTTGTTGGTTGATGTGTCTTATGCATATAAGACAATTGAAAATGAACACCTTTTAGCTATTCAAACACACTACTGCACAGACAACTGTTTCATCCCCTATCTATTACCACCTGCTGGTAACACCTGCATACTGGTACCACCTGCTGCACTTGTTACGACATACGATAATTATCCACAAAACTTCAACAACCACATGTTTTTCCATGTCGTCACCAAACATCCGTAAAACTTTTAAATCAGCAAATCAGCTGATGGTGAGAAAACTCTCTACCCCCACTACGAAGTTGATAATGTACCTTACAGACTTCAGATAGTCATGAATTAATTTTTATATGATATGCGTCCACAAATTAAGAACGTATGTTTTTATCGTTTTAAATACTTATACAAATAAAATCATTAGTAGGTCTACCTCAGTGAGTTGGTTTCTTTCAATTGACCATTTTTTGTTGTATTCATTTTCATCTGCATAAATATTCTCTTTTGGGCTTCTTATTCCGTCAACAAACACCTAAAAGGAAAAAAGTTTTAAGTCTAATAGCTACATGTTTGCAAATTACAATAATTTAATCTTAGATTAATACAAACTATAAAATAAAATCTTTGAGTAAAAATAGCTCCGTTTCCATTAGACTTTGGGAACAAAAAAATTAACAGAAATAAATTCAGTCAGAGCAAAAATATTCTTTAAGGTGATAGATTTATGTCTACATACAGGGACAGAAAAGTGCTACAAGGACAGAAGTGATTTTTTTATAATGTTTTGTAATAGTAAAGAGATAAATCAAATAGTTGGCCATATTTTATAAAGATATACAGTATACATAAACAAGCAAACAACAACAGTAAATTTTTTTTAATCAGGGGGAGAGGATGTTTTTCTAAAGTTTACAAAATTCAGGTCAGAGAGAATGTTACCCTTGTTCCTAAGATTATTGGAAGAGTACCGTAAAAAAAGAAATTGTAAAAATCCACAGCCTAAAAGCTGTGTAAGCAATTTTGTAAATGCTAACTAACAAAAATGCTCACATATTGCAATGAAATCAAATTAAATATCATTCTTTATTTATTCAGGCAAAGTTACTTATACTTAACCTAAAAAATAATATTATAAACAAAGAGATAACCTATGGGAAGTATTTAAATATTAATATTTATATATTTATTTATAGGACATCTAATTGCATGTGTAACTAAAAGCCTTTTTTAATTGGATGATTTAGGATTACTCAAAAACTAAAATAATAAAACATAAATAGCTGCTATTATTAAACTAAAGAAAATAGGGCATTAAATAGAGCAACTGTGATCGAACTTTAAACTAACATTATTAACTGTAGTTAACAGTATTAACTAACAATATCTATATCATAACTTGAAATATTCAATAAAAGTTAAATCGGAATCAGACTATTGGTTTTCGTCTAAAAAACAAATTCTTAAAAAGCAGATATTTTGTCACGAATATTCCTTGTGGTTGCTTTAGTTTGAATACGGTGCATTTTCTTGTTGTGGACTAACGATTTATCTGCAATGCCGTCTCTTTGTGATGGACAGAAATTCATGAACTAGGTTCCTTATCAACACTCGGTCTGATGTGTCGTGTTTTCATAAATGCCTTATCAAATATAAACGTTTTCCTACTAGCTATTCACTAAGTGCTGCCAATAACAGTGAAATAAAGACTTATGGTACCATGCCTCTTACCCTTAATACACCTTATACGTAATTTCCCTTGGAGTCTAGTGGTAGCGGATGTTTCAGTACCTATATTAGGTTCAGACTTCCTTTCACACTATCACTTATTACCTAATTGCAAGATTAAATGTTTGGTTGACAAAAAAACGGGATTGAATGCCAAGGGAATAGTTTCTAACAACAATCAAACTAGTATTAAAGTTATATCTTTCTCCTCCCCATTTGCAGAAGTTTTTTTTCTGAATTCCCTGATGTTATTCATCCTCCAGGCTTACCTCTTGCTGTGAAACATAAGACAGTTTATCATTTAAATGTTACACCTGGTCCTCCTGTTCACTGTCGACCACGTCACTTACATCCTCCACAACAGAAAGCTACCCGGAAAGAATTTCAGGAGATGGTTAAGCTTGGTTTTGCTCGACCCTCTGATAGCCCCTGATCCTCGCCTTTATACATGGTGCCTAAAGGGGAAAATGGATGGCGTCCTTGGGTGATTACCGCGCTTTCAATGCTCGTATTGTTCCTGACAGATACCTTGTACCACATATTCAGGATTTCTCGTTAAATTTAGCAGGCTATGCACATTTCTCTGCCATTATTTGACCAAGGCTTACCACTAAATTCCCGTCCACGAAGATGACATCCAAAAAACAGCAACCACCACTCCTTTTGGGTTGTTTGAATTTCCATTAATGACTTTTGGCTTGCGCAACGCGGGTCAGACATTTCAAAGATTTATAGATGTGAAGTTTTTCACGTCCTTTTTGTTATGCTTATACTGACGACATTTTAGTATTGTTCCCAGTCTGAAGAAATGCATAAAGATTCAGAAGAAGAACTTCAAAATCTCATTTCAGAAAGTACTACATCTCTTAGATTGGAGAAAGTTCCAATTCCTGGAACCCATTTGATCCTTATCTGTGACAGCTCAACAGGAACTCTAAGATTCCTCCCCTCCAAAATCAATTTCCTCCCAATCAAAATCATTCAATACAAAATCAATTTATAGCTATCCTATAGCCACGACAGGTCTATCGGTCTAAATCACGTTTACCCACGCTTTTAGTTCTTGCACCCTTTTCAAAAAATGAACTTTTACAATATTAAACCTGAACTATTGAATTCCCCCCATGTTACTCTTATTGGGAATAACCTTGAAAATGGCCAACTTTGGTATGCAGATCTAAACTGTTTGGAATCATACTAGAGATTCAAAACTTTACAATAGTGTACAACGTTACCAAAAATTTACCAGTGATATTTTGAAAAGTCCCATTTTCAAGTCATAACCCCCCCCCCCCCTAAAATCCAACATGGCGGATATCTGAAAAAGTTATATATTTTTTTTTACTTCTATAACTCAAAGCCATCTATTTATTATAAACCTCCTATTAAAAAACCCCTATCTAAAGGAAGTTAGCTCCCTAATAATCCTAATAATTATTTTTTTTTTATTATTAATCCCTAATAAAGGATTTTTTTTAATTTTTTTAATTTATTTTGTTTATGTGTACCCCACCGTACCAAAAAAACCGCTAACAGTTCTTGAATCATTGCCTTTCATAGTGGCAAAGACTTTAAATCTTTCACAGTTACTAGTCTTCTTTATTAAGCCAAGGTTAAAACGAATATATTTAGCCCCCCCCCCTAGTATATCTGTATCAAAAACACTTCAGTTGCATTTGAATACAGTGCTTAGTATTTTACAAACTTCTTCTTATTGTATTATCTTACTCAGTAACAGACTTTCCCCAAGGATTTTACAACAATCCCCCAACCAAAAAAAGGGGGCTTGGGGCGAGCCAAAGGCGAGTTGGTTCTATAATATGCAAAAGCATTAAAAAGTTATTAAAAATCCTAAAAGGGTTCAGCACTATTATTATTTTGTTTTTGCATATATGACAACAGCTATTTTGAACTAAGCAGCAACAAAAAGCTGTGATACACAATGAGAACTGTCAAAGTAGGATTGTTCACAGTTATGTTTATGTTTTTAATTTAATGAATAATTCGTGATATGTGCAGTGGTAGAACATTATGGCTATAGTAGATGTGTTATACTATATCATACCGTAAATTTAAAGAACCAAAATTTATCAAACTCTGTCCTCCCCCATTGCAAATTCAAAGCTTGAGTACAATCAGCATTATCCTCTACTAGCTGTAACCCGCGGGCTTTGCCCCGTTTAACTTCTTCATTTTCAAGATGATCTCGTTCGCATGGCTCAATCACGTCCTGGTTGAAGTTCGTTCGATACGCTCACTCACCTTTAGGTTGGAGCTCGTTCGCTGCGCTCACTTGCCTTCAGGTTAGCTCGTTTGCTACGCTCACTTGCCTTCAGGTTAGCTCGTTCACTACGCTAACTCGCCTCCAGGTTGAAGTTCGTTCGCTATGCTCACTCACCTTTTAGTGGCAAATTAGCTGTTGTCAAATTGTCATAAATGTAAAAGAAATAATAGTGCTGCACCCTGTTGGTAATCCTTGTAACTTTAATGCTATTGAATATCATAGAACAGAACCAACTTGTTTAATTGAAACAGCTGTTAAGATTCATTAATTCCATTTCTCATAAGGTTAACATGGGAAAATCCAGAGCCACTGGGGCGGAGCCGATTGGACGGATCACGAAATTGATGGTGTATAAACCTATTCCATGAAATTCTACACGTATGTACCAAGTTTCGTGGCAATCGGTTCAGTGGTGTCTGAGTTTATCACTGCCAAATATACAAACATCCTCTTTTATACTTATAGATACCAACCCCGTATGAAGGACGGGTGCTCTGCTAGTACATTATAAAAAAAATCAATTTTCCGCAATCTAAAATGTGCTTAGGTATTAAAAACCTTACCACGAATGATTGTATTAGTTTCTGAGGATTTTCAGGCAAATTGTCTGTTTCGTCGTCCTGTCTAGGCACCTCTGCATAGGAAGCGTCAACGAGAAGAAATACCAAAACAAATGCTGAAACACAATATCATTTGTACATTTATTAAATTGCATATTTTTATTGCATAGTATATGTTTTGAAATAATTAAACCAACAATTGAATAACATAGTAAAACAGTTATTATTACGTTTATTCAACATCATAAGTTCAATTCATAAGACAAAATGTATCAAAATATTTACATATGCAGGGTGTCCATAGAGAAAGTCAGATAGTTCTACCCACCAAGTTGTTTTTTTATGAATAAATATTTTAATTTTAAAGTTTTTAACCGATGAATATTAACCTTGTTAAGCATGTTAACGTACACCAGACTTATTATAGAAAAAAATAAAGTCGGTTTGATTAGAAAAAAAAATATGGTGGCTGTTTTAATTTGTATAATTTAATAACTCAAAAACGGATGGTTAAAAAATTATTCAATTAAACTGTTATTTAGCATGATGAATTCCCCATCAAACGACACCAATGTCAAAAAGGTAAATAACTAAAATAAAACGTTTTCGATGCAAAATGTGCCAACTCTCGCTTTAGTGCCAAGTCATGGATTCCTTCAGCCGACGAAGCCAAGTTGATGCTATATACATAGATTTCAGCAAAGCCTTTGACAAGATTAGTCACCGTCATCTTCTTGCTAAGCTGGAGGGCTATGGCGTTGTTGTCACGATGCTTCGATGGTTTGAGAGCTGTCTTTCTGATAGACGTCTGGCTGTTGTCTTCCAGTCCCACGTCTCTGCTTGCTTCGTCGCGAGTTCTGGCGTCCCGCAAGGCTCTCATCTTGGCCCACTTTTGTTCTCGATCTTCATCAACGACATTAAAGATAACATAAATACGCCTTTTCTACTTTTCGCTGATGACACTAAGCTGTTTGCGGATGTCAACTCTCACGCTGACTGTCAACTACTTCAAGAAGCTCTCGACAACGTCGTTAGTTGGTGTTTAGTGAATACTTACTTTCCATGTCCGGATGAAACACCAGCTCAGTTAGATATTGTCTTTCCAATCATCTGCTACATATATGGCTTCGTCATTTGCCTCCTTAAGATCGAGCCAGGAGCATGTTCTGTCCATATCTGGACAAACTAGTAGATGTTCATGGTCCTGAGGGGCCCCACATGTGCAGTTTGGTTCTCCTTCATAGTACCCCCACCTCATGAGGTTTACTTTGCACCTCGAGACCCCACTTCGTAATCTATTTAGGGTCCTACATGTGGGGTAAGGCAGGTGACAGCCTGCAGGGAGTTCCTCTCTAAGTTGTACTGGTGGCTGTTGAGCCTCCTGTCTCCATAGCTTAAGCCTTAATACTTCCGGTGTTACTGAATGTATCTCAGTGGTTTTGAGGAAACTCTTTTTTGACCGGAGTCTAGAGGGCTGCTGTTGGTGCCCATATAGACGGTGGTCGGTCACCTGCTTCTGTCGTTCTACTGCGGCTGTCACGTTTCTCCTTATCCTGACACGATCCTTGCAGTTTCGTTGATGGCTATGTTTGCCTGCATGGGCAGAGTTTCTCCACACTGGAGCTGCATACTCTGCTGCTGAGAAGCTAAGAGCAAGAGCAGAAGTGCGTAGCACCTGTAGTTGTGTTCCCCAGGATGTGTTGGTAAGTTTCCGAATGATATTATTTCGGGAGCACACTTTTTGCCTAGTAGCAAGGCAGTGTTGTTTAAAAGTCAATGCTCTTTCCAGCTTCACACCTAGATATTGAGGATAGTCATTATGTTCGAGTTCTTGCCCTCTCCACAGTACTCTTAACTTTCTTTTTTGCCTCTCTGTTCCGTAGGTGGAAAGCGCATACCTGGGTTTCGGTTGGGTTAGGCAATACGGTTCTCATCATAGTAGCTTCCTAGTTTTTCTAGAGTTTTTGTCAACGTATTCTCCACCTCCTCAAATGTATGCTCTTGAGCTGCTACCGCTGTATCGTCAGCATAGATAAACTGCTTAGTATTACGCTGTATAGGCTGATCATTAGTGTAAATATTATACAGCAAAGGGGCCAATACGCTATTTTGGGGAACGCTACCTCTTTTGGTTTCTCCAGTGGCTGTTTTTATTTTGGAGAGTGACATAGAAGCGCCTGTTTTGCAGAATACATTGAATGAGCACTGTAAATTTATAGTCTTTTGTTAGTTTGTATGTCTTACATACAAGCCTGTTATGGTTAATGGTTTCGTAAGCAGCGCCAAGGTCAATGAAGGCAACTCCCGTAATCTGTTTCCGCTCAAAGCCAACCTCAATGTGTTTGTTAGGTTGAGGACTTGGCTCGTGCAGGATATTCCGGGTCTGAAGCCAGCTTGTTCTCGTATTAAAGATGCATCTACTGTTGTGGAAATTCGATTTTACACCATGCGTTCCAAAGCTTTGTATAGGTGACACAACAAGGAAACAGGACGGATGTTTCTTGCATCAGTTGGCTCCTTGCCCGGCTTCAGGACGGCTACTACTCGTGCCTTCCTCCATGTTTTTTGGGATTTGCATGGATGTAATGCAGTCGTTCATGAGGTCCGAAACCCAAATGACTGTCGCAGCACCAAAGCTCTTAATTTTCTCTGTTCTTATCTCATCAGGTCCATCAGCCTTATTGTTTTTCAATTGATGAATTGCAGTGTAGAGTTCATCAGCTGTAAAAGGGGTCTCCAGAGAATGCTGCTCATCTTCGACTTCCCTTTAGATCTTCATGTTCTTACTTTTTGAATGGTGTTTCCCATTAATGAGTAGCTGATGTGCAATCTGATCCGGCGTAGCATTTGTCAGCGGGTTCTTCGTAGCAGTTGGGTCGTTACTGAGATTTTTTAGCAGTTTCCAGGCACGACTGCTGTTTTGCTTCATGTCTAGTGCCCCTATCAAATAGCTCCATCTTTCCTTTCTTGACTCGGTCAGGGTTGCAAGCAGTTCTTCACCCGCCTCAAATGTATCGTCAGAAAAAGGGTCTTCATTATAAAGCTCTTTATACCGCTCTAAGATGGGACGAGAGTCCCCTGTCAGGCCAGAAATATATTCCCTACGGCACCCTCTCGGGATATGTTTCCTGGATATACTCTTGACAAGTGCTATAAAATCTTCATATGCATTCCAACCCTTTGGCAGATTAGCAACGCCCATGTCTAGCTCTTCAGTAAATAAGTCCCATCTAGCTTTTTTGAAATTAAAACGTATTTTGAAAGGAGCAGATTGGGGACTCACCACAACGGTGACAAGAAAGGTAATTGCTCTGTGCTGTGTCCGAGGGAAAGGGTCTTCAACTAGCTTTACTGTTTGCTGTGCAACAAGGTCACTCACAAGGGTGTTGTCTGGATTGTACCCCTTCCTCCACCTTCCACTGTTAAAAGATGCTGGCAACTTTGGATCATGTATGATATTTAGGTCGTTTCTTTCAGCCCATGACTCAAGTTCTTCACCATTCTCATCAGTTTGGCTGTAGCCCCATGTCGTACTGTGGCAGTTGAAATCTCCAATTACAAACTTAATCCTCTTTGCTCTAAAGTTTCCAGGTTCAGCAAAACGGAAAGGCACATTTGGTGGTTTGTAGATAGACGTTACTGTACAGGACTGGAGTTCCACTGTCAGAATTTCTATGTCGCTATTACAAGTCAATGCCACCGAGAGGATCGTTAAATATAGCTTTGTAAATATTGCACTACCGTATTTTCCATGTGGTCTCTCTAGAATTAGTTTCATGCCATTAATTTTTGGCCGATGCTCCGTTATACTTCTATGAGTCCCTTGCATGACCAGGATGTCACAATTTCGTTTTTTACACAAGTCCGAAAGTAAAATTTCTTTGTTCGGTGAAAGCCCTTCAATATTGATTGAGGTTGTTATTAAAGTTGGCTTTGATAAAAGCCGTTTGCCGGTATTCATGGTTCTCGCTTGGTGTTCCGGTGTTGGAAGGATTAGCCGTTAAAGATAACGTTGCCCAGGGTACGCCCGATTGTGGTATGTGGTCAGCAATCTTCAGGGAGGCTCCTTCCGTGTTTAGTGAATGATATGTCAGCAAATCCTGCTAAAACGAAATGTATAACGTTCAGTAGAAAATAGAAAAACTTGGAAGACGACTATTTCCTTGACGGGAACAGGGTGGAAAGGTGTGACACCATCAAGGACCTGGGCTTTGTGATTGATGCATCGTTTGAATTTGGACCGCACATTATTCATATATTTGCCAGGGCGTCACGCATGCCGGGATTGATCTCTCGAACGTCAAAACATGGGTTGAGTGCCAACTCCTCAACGATCCTGGTTGCCCTACCTCTTTGGCCAAATCGATCATATTGAATCAGTCCAGAGATGCTTCGTGAGACATATTGGTTGTCACACTGGGTTCAATTTCATGGACTTCCCAGTCGATGCAATATCTGTAGCTTATGGTCTCCAAAGCTTGGAGTGTAAAAGAAGAGTTACTGATGTTGCCTTCCTCTTCAAGCTGTTAAACAACCAGATCAGCAGCCCTTTCCTTCTCGATAGGATCAATTTGCAAGTTCCCAGAAGAACCAGGCATCAACGCTAGTTTGAGCTAGACTATGCGTCGACCAGCTATCTACGCTTCTGCCCTATACCACGCCTGATGCGCTCCGGGAACGAAATATGTTCGTAGGTCGACTTTTTCGCTTCCAGCTTGGTGGCTGTGAGGCGAGTGGCAGCAGAGGAACGAGACGATCAATTTTTTAATTTCACTTTGTTTTTGCTCCAAAATTTCCAACTCTCTCGATGCTAGGGACCATGTCTCCGGTTTATTCCTTGACTTTACGAAAGCTTTTGATGTTGTTGATCACAACCTACTCCTGAATAAGCTAGAAAGTTTGGGGATCCGCGGAGTAGCTTTAGATTGGATATCTTCCTATGTTAAGGGACGGAGACAAGTTGTCAAAGTCCCTTACATCGATTCTTCAGGTTGTTTGTGTAGCAAGATTTCCAATGAGTGTTTTGTAAGTACAGCTGTGCCACAGGGGTCCGTTCTTGGGCCCGTCCTTTTCTTCATGTTTATCAATGATCCTCCTCAAGTGATCAATGATCAATGCCTCCTGTAGTGTCCAATTCTAAGTTACAACTGTTTGCTGATGATACTTTTCTCATTGTGTCTAGTCCAAAGCATTCACAGCTAGAGATCAAAACATTTATTAATAGTAATTTTGTCTTCCAATGGCTATCTGACGTCACTTTTAGTCTTTCGTATACGGCAGAATTCGTCAAGCACATCTGAACCTTTAGTTTTACCAGTCGACAACATCAATATTGTTTCATCTTCTAACATATTTAACTTATTTTATTTAATTTTACTATTATTATTAATTTTATTATTTATTTATTATTTATTAATTTTGTTATTATATTATTTCATTTTTATTTTATTTATTTTTTTGTAACATATTTAGGAGTAATCATTGACAACAATCTAAATTTTTCCAGCCATATTGACAAAGTTTACAATAGGCTTAGTCCTATTGCTTTCCTTCTTCGTAGGCTCTCCTGTTATCAAGACAGACGTGTCCTTCTGACATCTTATTACGGTCTTGTTTACCCTTTTCTTAAATATTGTGTGCCCGTATGGGGTAACGACAAGCTTTAAACTAAGAAAATATTCAAACTGCAAAAACGAGCAATCAGATTGATCTTTAACTTAAAATATAGAGAGTCTTGACGATCCGTTTTTCGTAGAACTGATATGCTGACCTTCACATCAATTTTCATTTTTGAATCCTTGTCCGTCTTAAAAAAGAATTCAACAATGTTTCATATTCACGAGTCATCTCAACACAGCTTCAATCTTAGAAGGAACTTTGATCTACCTATTCCAAAATCCCGTACCACTTTTCATAAAAAAAGTCATTCTCAATGTGTATCCATCCTTTAAATCCTCTTCCGAATGCAATCAAGGGTGAAAATGATTTAAAAACAATTTAAGCATGATTTGAGGGAATATTTTATTGATGAGGATTTTTACAGTGTCTCTTTGTTTTTAAAATGTAAATAGTATGTACCTCTTGAATTTTGTATCTTTATTTTTATGGTTCTGATTTTATTTCTTTAGTTTTAGTGACTTTTGCCACAGACAACATATCTGTATTATTGTGGCAATAAACGATTCTAATTCTGATTCAGATTCTGATTCTGTTATCGATATTTATTATCTGTTATCTCAAATCATTAGTATTGTTGTTAATTTAATTATTTATTATTGTTGTTCATTTCTTCATTTATTATTGTTAATCATTTCATTGTCTATTATTGTTATTGATTTTATTTTTATTTTTGTTAACCAGTAATAAGCACAAACATTCACTGTTGAAGCTGTCAAACTCCTGATTATCTTAGTAAATTGGTGTTTTGCCGTTGATAAATAAATAAATAAAATAAATAAGACAAAGTTAGTCAGGGGGGACTTCATTTTGCCTTATCATACAACTTAAAAACTTTCTTTTCGCCAATTCCCCATATAGGGAATAAGCTATTACCGTAGTACTCGTGGTAGGACCTGAACCCGGGACCGATATAATTTTTCGTTTCGAGGTCCCTAGAGGCAAAAAAAAACCATCCGTTCAAATTCATATATATAGGCTACCTATATATATATATATATATATATATGTGTGTGTGTGTGTTTGTATGTATATATATGTTTATATGTTTATATGTATATATATATATATATATGTGTACGTGTGTATATGTCTGTTAGCGCAATAACTCGAGCAATCATGATCCGATTTTGATGACATTTGTTACAAACACGTAAACCTACGTTTATTCGAAAGAGTTCGCGAACCAGCATAATCGAACCATAGTAACGGGGGTTTATGGGGGGTTTTATGGGGTAAAAATGGGGTTTTCCCATTTTTGACCCTAAAAACAAAGATTTGGCAATTTATTTTTAGACCATTTTGTAGAGCTTAAAAAAAGAAATAATTTAGTATATTGAAGCGCTGTTGTATGCTTAACGGATATAATTCAAAAATAATGTAATTTAAAATTCCCATGTTATTCTTATGGAGAAAATAAAAACTGTTGTAGATTACTTGTTTATGGATATGTGTTGATAAAATTTCGGAAATGTATTTATTTCATCCTATAATATTGACGTAAGGTCAAAAAACCCTTTTTACCTTCCATGTAGCAGCAAATCTAAGCACTCGTTATATCTAATGTTATTTAAATTGGGAATAAATATGTCTTATTCATGGAAATATTTTAGTAACCTAATGATGTAATCAGACAAGTTGAAATACGCTTAGTCTGCAGGTTTGCTGCGGCGGAGATATTTGAGTTATTCAGATTAGTCAGCTCTTTCCTGGAATGTTAGATGGTTTGAGTTGTTGGTAATATATCTGCCTATGTGTGTTTTATTACGGTAGATGCCAAAATCAAGTTTATTTATTCTTTTCATCATTACCATCAAATCTAAAAATGGGAGTTTCCATCTAATTATCTTTCTGTAGTGAACTATGGAAACATCGGAACAGTGAAATTTGTTGGATAAATTCCGTTAATTTGGTTGGTAAACATTTACCAGTTTGTATTAGATACGCTAATGACATATTTGCTGGCTGACAAAATGTTTAACAGTATCAGACCTAGTAACCTACTGATGTAAAAATAAGGCAATCCTAAAGAAAAACCATCAAAATTGTAAATGTCTGGAATTTATTAAATAATTGTAATAATTGTAATATGACATTTGTCAGCCAAAGAAAACGAAAAATGCAAACTAGTTTTAAAGAACATAAAGCCCTTGCGACATACTGAATACCTGAAAATTCTGCTCGTGCTAGTCACAGTATGTATACAGGGATTTTTTTTTCAATTTGAGAAAACTTTGATAACAAACGATGAAACCTCAACATAAAAGGACCTACCTTAACCATAAAACACAACGAAGTCAAGGTTAATAGGTGCCATAACCTCAATACATGGTAATCTTGTTTTATATATTTAAAAAATACCATTAATAAAGACCAGAATTATTAACTCTGAATTACTAAAACTAGTTATATGAAGGCTGTTAAAATTCCTAGGGGCTCGAAACGCTTTTTACTTCCTAGAAATCAAAACTTATAATTTGGACCCGCAACGCATTAATTAAAAACGACTGTTTTTGCTGCACTATGACAACAATAGTCTTAATACGTGTTATTTTTGTGTATAAAAATCAAATTTAGACCGCTTTCCGTGACCTTTAGATTAGACGAATCAAATTTCCAAAACTAACTTGAAAACCTACATACTGAGACTCTTTCGTTAATACCTGAAATAAATGTTAAAACTCATTTAGAAAATGGAAGGAGCTGTTAACAGACCTTACGTAAAATAAAATTCTAAAAGCATAAAAAGAATTTGGTTTTAATAGATATTACTTACTCAGTGTTGTGTTCATGCCGACTTTAAAGCTGCCACAACTACAACATTACAGTACATGCAGTACATCTGCAATGCCAAATATTTTCGAGCAATATTTTTTACGTAATTGATACGTGCTATCAATCAACCCAACCTAATCACCCAACATCAACGTCAGTTTCGTAGTCGAGCGTTACAACTTTTAGCCTACATAATGATATTTTCAATTGCATTTTTAGAATCTCTTTTTTATTAGAACACGTATAATATGGTACAGCAAAACCCATTCAAAAGTTTATAATTTGACTTAAATAACAAATTTTGAAAAATCTTTAAAAAGGGCGCTACAACTCGCTTAAGAAACTTTTTTTACCAAGTCTTGTTAAAAACTGTCAAATAGTATAAAAAACATCTCCACATTTTAAGCTTTAAAATGGTATGCAATATGTGACATGTTATGTCAGTCTAAGGGGAGAAATATTAAAATTAATAATTTTTTCTTTAACTGCCCTCATTAATTACAAGTACGTATTTAGTGAAAGTTGAGTGCAAAATGTATCTGTATAATTAAGTATACCCCAAGTGAACTTGTAAAATCTAATATTTTAGTACATATTTAATACCATAGTACAAATTCAAATAAGTACAAAGGGCTTTGAATTATTTATTACCAGGTTAGTATGGAGTATTTTATAAATGCATAAGTCAGAGGTAATTAACAGAATAAACAATTAACATTATGTTTGCAACTAAAGTTATTTTCCAGAATAAATTTTGAAATACACGGTAATATTATTTGATTTAATTTAAAGCAAAAAGACACATGGAAAAGCTGCACCTTAAGAATTTTAAATATGTTGTTAAAACAACCTGACTTTAAGTGTTCTTAAGCTTTTCTTTATTGTTTTAACTGTAAATCTTATAAGAAAGGGTTCCTCTCAACTTTTGTACAACTACTGTCAATTATACAGCTACCTCAAGTCCTATTCACTGTATACATCTTTAGTACATACTTCACTATTAAGAAATGCCCAAACAAGGAATAAAATAGGCATAAGATCAGGGAATTTGGCTGCCTATGCAAAGGGTCTGCCTCGTCACAAAATCCAGATGAATAAGTCACTTACCTCATTAGTGTAATAAAGAGGAGTGCTGTTTTAAAATTGTATTCTTTCTATTTAAGTTTGACTAAAATCTAAGTGATCCAAGACTGCAGGTAGGGTGTGCTGCAAAAACCTAGAAAGGTTTGTCAATTTAGTTTGTCGAATAAACGTATGTCCTATTAAATAAATTGTTTATAAAATAATTTACATGTGCAGTTTATGCATCAAGAACATGCATCATACATAACCCGTATTTAAGATTATTAAGGTAAAGCTTATCCATAATTTTTGTATGTTTCCAATAAATAATATATTAGGCCTACCTTGTATTTGAAAATTTGTTCGGTAGAAATAATCTAAATTACATAAAATGATCAGCATCTTCGTAATCACAATTGACGTCTGTAATTATACTTACTTTTACTTGGCATTCAAAGCACTACAACTAGTTTGGGCTGTACTATACTACAGTATTAGATTTTACAAGTTTACTTGGGGTATACTTAATAATACAGATACCTTTTGCACACAACTTTCACTAAATGCGTACTTGTGTTATTAGTGTGTAAAGTTAATGAAAAGAATATTAGTTTTATGTTTAACGCAATATTTCTCCTCTTAGGCTGACATAACATATCACATATTGCATATCATTTCGAAGCTTAAAATGTGGAGATGTTTTTTATACTATTTGACAGTTTTTACCATGATTGGATAAAAATGTTCTTAAGCGAGTTGAAGCGCCCTTTGTATTGATTTTTCAAAATTTGTTATTAAAGTCGAATTTACAAACTTGTAAATGGGTTTAGCTGTACCATACTATACTTGTTCTGATAGACAATTTAATGAAGATTTTACAAATGCAATTGAAAATATAATTATGTAGGTTAAAAGTTGAGAAATATTAGATTTTATTAGGCAATGTCAAGAAATTTGGAAAAATCAAGAAATGGCTGTTGCCGGAAGTAGGAGTGAGATATAACTATCCAAATTGCGTATTTTTATCGCAATTTGCGTGCTTAATGATGCCTTAAAATATTTGACACTGACTACCAAACACCCTGTATTTAAAATATATTATACCTTAAAATAAATTACAAAGCTGAAGTTGTGTCATTCTATTTACAAAAATTATCCCAGTTAATAGTGATGAACCTGGCGGTGACGGACAATCGTTAACAGTTTTATACGTGAAACTGGCGCTTAAAAACCCACCCTCGAAAAAATTGGTTCATTTTTTTATTTCTTAAGGGCTGAAAAAGAAACAAAGGCCAACACAGTATTGTATTGATGTATGCCAACTTTAAACAAATGTTCTGGTTCTTGGTCGGAACAGGAAGTTCGTCTCCAAAATTGAAAGCTCTGAATTGTTTGTAAGAAGATATAATATAGTGTTTTACCCCACTTTCGGCAGGTTTTTCCCATGTTTATGAAAATTTTAGGTGAAAAAAAATTAAAATCGGCTCATGAATTTGTGAGATAATCCCCCCCTTTTCCCCTACCCATAACTTGTTTTTTAATAGCAAGGTACCCGCCCTTGTGACATATCAAATGAAAAATAAATTTCACCAAACATTTTCTTTTTTCATGCTCTTTCATTTGATATGTCACAAGGGGTACCTTACTATTAAAAAAAAAATTAAGTTCCGGGAAAGGGGGGGAAAGGGGGGGAGTGTGAATGTAACGTTGAATCCAAAACAATTGGGCCCCTACGTCAATAGATGATTCCCGCAAACTGCATATTTCTATCTATTGCGGTTTTTATATAAATAAAGATGCAAATAAAAAAAAAACACAGTGTATTAATTTGAAACTGTTACTTTCTCCCCCTATACCATAGTATATGGAGAAAGTATTGTTTTCGTCAAAATTTTCGAGTTTGAGTTTTGAGTGGATATATTCGTTTTGGGTCCCCCTGGACCCAAAAAAGTGGTTTTCGAAGTGATGTCTGTGTTTGTGTGTGTGTGTGTGTGGGTAGGTGTCTGTGTGTGTGTCTGTGTGTCTGGATGTGTACAGAGCTAGGGACTACACCTGTGGTCCGATTTCGATGAAATTTGTTATGCAGGTTCTAATCCATAGTATCTCCAGGCGTTTTTTTTTATTTTTTTGAAATTTTGACTTTTAATGGGGATTTTCCCATAAAACCCCATAAAAAACCGGAAAAATCGGATTTTCTCGAAAATGGCCCGAACGATTTTGATAAAAATTTAGTATGCTGTAGCCCTTTAGATTCTGAACAAAATAGTACAAATCCCATTTCTGTAAAAATTACGGTTCAAAAGTTATGGTAAATTATGTTATTTTCCCATAAAAAACCCATAAAATAACGAAAAATAGGATTTTAGAAAAAAATCCGGTTTTTTTTAATTTAGTATTTTATAGTCCTTAAAGTTTTGATAGTTTTTTCATATTTAAAAAAAAAATATTTTTAATGGGGATTTTCCCATAAAACCCCATAAAATAACGGAAAAATAGGATTTTCCCAAAAACGGCCCAAAAGATTTTGATAAAAATTTGGTATGTTATAATCTTTTATAATCTGAACAAAATGGTACAAATCCCATTTCTGCAAAAATTATGGCTCAAAAGTTATTGTAAATTATGTTATTTTCCCATAAAAACCCCATAAAATAACGGAAAAATCAGATTTTCACAAAAATGGCCTGAACGATTTTTATAAAAATTTAGTATGTAGTCCATTAAATTCTGAACAAAATTGTACAAATCCCATCTCCGTATATTTACTCTTACCGCTTACACATGATAAAGGTTGTTGACAAACTTATGGGAGAAAGTATGTGTCAGAATTCTGATACCGTTTATTTTTCTTTGTGATAGCTAACTTGAGAGAACGGCTGGGCTTTAGAACTCGGTAGAGGTGTCTAAAGAAGGAGCTCTTGGTCTGTAGATGAGCCATCAAAAGAGAAACGTGGTGAATTCCCTTGGGGCTCTGCCCCAGTGGCTTTTAAATTCCCATCCCATGTTATTCTTATGGAGGAAAAGCGGGTTTTTGTCACAGCTAATTTCAGAGAACGGCTGGGCGTAGAAACTTGGCATGGGTCTCTAAAGAAAGGTCTTGGTTTGTAGATGAGCCATCAAAAGAGAAACAAGAAAATTCCCTTGGGGCTCCACCCCAGAGGCTTTTAAAGTTCCCTTATCAGATTTGTTTACATTACGGCCATGTGGATAATTTTACACTACTTTTAATGAACCAGCTGTTATGAGCATTAACTGAATCTGTCAAAATGAAATGTTTACATTATTATCTAACGGTTTCAAAATTTATTTTCTACTGCATGGCAAGTTTTTTATAGTTTGAATAAAATTATGAATTTATGATAGGTACGTTTAAATTTTTTTGTTCAAAAATCTATGCTTTAATGCACTTATAAAATGTTGTATTATGAAATTACTGGGACATATCAATTTCAAAGGAACAGATAATTATTCCTTATAGGGTTAGATTATATATTGTAGGGGTTGGAGCTTGCCTTTTTTCATTTATCATTACATTCAAGAAAGAACGTCAGAGGTTTGTGAGATTATTAGCATGGAAGTTTTTGATGATCGGGTAGGAAAATTGTGTCATAGAATAAAATCCATGCAAGTGTTGAGGAGTACGTCGAGGATGTGAGCTATGTTCAAGTATTTAGCATGGAGTATGTTTAATCTATGGTTTTGGTGAAGTAGGTGAATTAAAGACAATTAAGGTATTAACTAAATAAAACAGTACCTTCACATCTCATCTCTTTTGCATAATTTGTTCCCAACAAAGCCGGACTAGGTTATGGATGTGGTTCCACAAATGTTTAAGATTTGTGAACAAATTCACTACAAATATGGTCCATCCCATCCACAAAATACATGCACAACTTAATGTGATCCATACGGCCAAGGCAGTTATTGATCTTCGAAAATCAAAAGTTCAAGTTTGACAGCAACCTCATGGAACGATTTTACAAAACTACGCTAGAAGTTAAAC